AAATGTTTTGACCTCTAACAAATCCTAAACCTTCAAAACTAAACCCTAATACAACATAATTAACCCAAATATAAATGATATAATAAATAAATAATTTTGAAAATGAGGCATTTTTGCAAAGATTTTGAAAATGTAGTATTTTTGAAAAGTGGAACTTCAAAAATTGTATTTCTCAAAATTTATCTTCTTATGATAAGTAGCACAATTTTAATTAGTGTGGCCCAAAATTATTATTTTACTAAATGACAGTTTTGCAGTATTGACATCAAATTTTCAGAAACTAGAATATAACTCGCACGATACGCGAGTTTTTCTCTTGCAATTTTGTTAAACTTAGTGACAAATTTTTTTAATTAATCAAGTACTTTTATCTTTATAATTAACAGAACAACCAATTTTTATAGATATGATGGAGTATATGATTTGAATTGAAATGTATGAAAATATGAAGTAATACTTATTCATTTCAATATCCATAGTTCCTATTTCAAAATAAATATATTTTTTGAAAGTGGAATAAATATATATGTATATATAGTTTTGAGTTTTTTATTTAATCCCTCACCGCTTTTTTAATTAGAATTTTTTTCTATACTTCAAAAAATCAAATATAATATTTCAACTAAATCATATATCCAAAAATTTCAACGTAGTTTTCATCTTTAGTGATATTGCTCAATATCTTTTTAGTGAAATAAGATGTTATCTTTCTCTTTGGACTTTCCGCATCCTAACTATCGTTTGATACTCAACTACGATACTTAACCATTAATAGAATATTTTTCCCTTGATTCTCTCATGTCGTTTATCTACATTTTTATTTCTTTGCTCTTATATTTATATTTATTTTACATATTTTCAATTTTTTACATATTTTCAATTTTTTGAAATTAAAATATGTAAACATTCATCTTTATCATAAAATCTTAATTTGTTTTATTACTATTAAATGAAGTAAAATATACATGAAATATATTTTTTGTTGTAATTTTTTATATACAGCAATAAATACTCAAATTATTTTTGAATGTACTAC